CACTAACTTCTCTCTCTATAACAATACAAAATTTCACTTTTCAATGGCTGATTCTCCAAAAATATTATATTAAAATAATTCAGTATTTTGCAATGCAAAAATGCAATATTTTAAATGCTTTTTGGAATTTTCAATTTGATTCTTTGTATATCATCATATTTGTATTATTTTTAGAGATGCAAATTTATGGATCAACTTTAGAAATTACAAAATGTATTTGCATAATCTAGAATACATTTCAAATGTTGAACCTATAGAGAACAAGATTTGACTCGTATTTGCCAACGCACAATAAGCTTTCCCTTCAAGTAATCAACTAACAAAAAAGTATGTATACATAACTAAAGCTAGCAACGGGTTGAGCCAGCCCTGGTCCTTATAAGGGAATATGAACCTGGCCTGGTACACTGCGAAGAGGCATTGGGCCAGGCCCGGGTTAGACTTAATAGATCTAAAGTAAAAATAGGGGAAAAACAGAAGAACAGAAAAAGGATCAGGCCTTGCTTGCCCTATCGCAACCCATGCCCAACCCTGGGGTCACATTTTGTGGCCCGGGCCGCCCCATTTCTAACTCCATATATGATTAAAATATAGTGTACCTAAGCTTTATATCTATTTTCTATCTATTTCACATTAAGCGAGTGGGGGTCGCCCTTTATTATTTTGATACATGTCCTTATCAATTCCATTTTGCAATTCTGATTGGTTTGTTTCTTTGAATTCCTTCTATATATTCTCTGTTATATTTATCACTATTTATCTCATACCCTCTCTCTTAATAAAAATGCTTTTTTAAACATATTCTCTCTCTTCATTTGTTTCTCTGATCTTTATCTCTCTCCTCTCACACACAAGTTTTTATAGTATCTCATTTACATTCTCTCTCTCCATGCATGCCTCTCTCTCATACTCTCCCTCTTATTTAAAAATACACTTTCTCTCTCTTTACATATTTCTCTCATTTTTATCTTTCTTTGCTCTCTTTCTCTCACACAAATTTCTATATTTTTCTCATTTGCTTCTTTCACACACATAAGTGAAAACCAGCTCTCTCTTAAATATAACCACTCTTCTCATTTATTTTTCTCTTCTTTATCAATGTCCTACTCTCTCACACAAGTTTCTATGTTTCTATCATTTCCATTCTCTCTCACACGCACACCTCTCTTCTTAGTTAACAACACACTCTTGTTCATGTATTTTTCACATTTTATCTCTCCTAATCTCTCTTTTTCTCTCTTAGTTAAAAGAAATTATTTTAGTAAATTCAAAATAAAAATATAACTAAAATTACAATATTACTTACATTAGTATATGTAAAAAAAAAATCCATTCTCTATTTATTCATGCCTGTTTTTCCATTGTCTATTTTTTTATATTTTTTATCTTTACTTTTTTGTAAATTCTAACATCCAAATCTAAATTATAAGAATAAAAGAAGATTTGCTACCATAATAGAATTATTCAAAAATAAATTATTTACTCATATGTAAATAATATATTTACTGTTATTTTATATAAGGATATTTATTTATAAGTAAATAATATCTTTATTAATGTAAGTAATGATAATTTCAATTAATTTAGCAAATAACATAATTGAGAATACAAAAAAGGAGAAAAAAAGATATAACAAAGAAAACTAACTAAAAATGTAAATTATATAAGTAAATAATATAACTAACTGTAATTTATTAGCGAGAAAGTGTTATTTCATAAATACTTACTTAAAAATGCAAATTACATCAGCTAAAAATAATTTAACAACTATAGTATTACTTATATTTGTAGATATAACAAAAAATGGAAATTACTTCTCTACTATTTTTTATTCATCAATGCTTTTTATTGTGTTTTTTTTTTTTTGCATTTTGTCTTTGTAAGGAAAAAGAAAAATTGCCCCAATATATGCTAATAATTCTTGAGTTTAAGAATACTTATTTATAATATTAATAATATAGAAATTATTCATACGAAAAAAGTAATATTTTCATTATACAATTATTCTATGTTTACTATTAATTAGCTAAGAGGACTCATATTTTTATATTTATGAGAGATATGATGGAAAGTACAATTTCATTAAAAGACAAATAATATTCTATCTGTTTTTTCATTTTTGTATTTATTCTTATTATTTTCCTAAATAATATTTACTTGTAAGTAAATAACATACTTTGAAATATAAGTATATAATATACTTTCTACAACTTTCTAAAATTATATTTACTTATAAACTAATATAACAATTTCAACTATGGTATTAAATAATGTAATTAGAAAAGCAAAAAAAAGAATAAGAAAAGATAAAAATCATTTGATGCTGCAAATTATTGTAGGTGAATAATAGAATTAAATTAGTTTTATCCTTTGGCATTTTTTGTTTCTACTTTGTTGCACTTCCCATAATCTAAACTTAATTTCAGAAATATGTGTAGAGAACTATTATTTAATAAAAGCCATATGTGAAAATGGAACTAGCAAATTCTCTCTTTTTCTCTTTATAATCGATTCTCTTTTTAAGATATCATATCTGGATTGAAAGGTTATTACAATGATTAGCATATAATCTCACATATAATATATGCGTACATCACTTGTGTTTATAAAACAAGGCACCTCATAGTGTACTTCTTCTTGAGTTCAAATTGATCGTTCATTTGTTGAGTTTCAATTTCTAAGTACAATGTGTAAATTGCCCAAACCAGGCTGATAGCCCTTGAAGGCCCTACCCGTTGTGGGGCTGGGTTTGGGCCCCTTTATAGTGCTTGTTGCATAGGGTGGACCTGAATTTAAAGGTTGTTAGCTTAATATGCCAATATCGGGCCTTGGTACTAGGCCCAACAAGTCCCATTTTACACGAATTTTCTATTTAATTGTATGCAAATGAGTCATGCTCGACCAAATGGTTTTTAACGTGTTGGGTCCCCTAACCCTACCCAAACTGACCAGGTCTAAATTAGACCAAGACCCGGATTGGGTCGAGGTTAATTGGATCTCGACTAACCAGCTGGATTGAGTCAGATAAGGTCTAGAAATAAAAAATATGTAAACATTTCTCTTAACTATTTCATAATATATATTTATGTATAGCTTGTACTTATATCTATTGGGTTGGTTTGACCCATCCTGACGTGATCCAATACGGTCCAAGTTGGACCCAAACCTGAACCCGACTTGCATAAAGTTAAGGTCAGGTAGACCCAAACCTAACCTGTCAGGTCCATTGTCTAGGTCTCGACTAGGACCCAATTCGGGCTTGCCCATCGGATCTATGGGTAACCCGTACCTGTTTCCACCCCTATAGGCCTGAAACGCCCGGCCTGCTCTTGGCCTCTTTATAGGGCCATTGGACCTAGTCAGGCCTGAATTTAAGACCGGTTAGCTTAACGGGCCAACCCATGATCTTCCTTGGCCATCCCCGGATGGCCTCCGGCCCGCTTAAAACTCATTGCATTGATAAGATATTATTTTTGTTATTTTCCCCTAATTGTTTTATAATTTTTTATTTTATCAAATGAAGATTATCAGGTAGGATGCATGCGTGCCCAAACTGTTGTGGGCACACAGTCGTGGTTACGCAAATAGTTGACTGCTTACCATTACATTGCATCCTACCTAGGGATTTCCCGACTAGCATAAACCTTTTCAATTGGCTGGAATACATTAAAAATGCAAACAATAAAATTTCAATTTGATGGCAGTTTTGCAGTTTATAAATCGCCAATCGTGAGGCAGAGTTGGTTACCAATACCAAATTTCATAAAACTTTCATAATAGAATTCATTTTTTTAATAATACAATACTTGTCAAGAAAAAGTATTCTACTATATATTTAACTATAATATAGACTGAGTCTTTTAACTATAATATAGACTTAGAGTCTACCTCATGGATAAATTTATATTCATTATCTTTATTTTAGTAGTATACTGGTAGGGGTTGCCAACCAATTCTCGAGCAACCACAAATTATAAAAAGGATTAGAAACTTACTCATTCAAATGCAAGCTTATAAATTTTAAAGTAAGATACCAACTTAAGTTCATAGAACAATAAACAAATAAAGGGAAGTCACTAATTTATTATGTGATTCATGCATTGGGATTAGGTTGAATATGGTGGAAAAGTATAAAATAAAACTATTTATTTTTAATACAAGGAGGTTTCATTCACTCTCCACTGTTAGATGTGTAATCGAGTGGTTGGAGACGTGCCAGCGAGCCGGCCCAAAGTCCCAAACAAAATTCCTCCAACTTTATGACATACTCTAATCTGTCAAATTTAACATTTGATTATTAATATCCTTCTAACAAAAATAAATAGTCTTATAGTTGATGCTTGGAATTCCTTTCTTTCTCTTCAAGCTACTCATGGCAAAGAGTCATAAACTGTTGGTATAGGTCTTAGAAAGACCTGCGAAAAGTACCCCAATTTGAATGAGTAATAGGTTGAAGTTCAACTTCAAATCATATTAAAACACTAATTTTAGTAAATCAAATGAATGAAATTAAATCTAATATTCAACACCCCATTATTTGCAAAACTTTGAGAAAGAGAGAAGGGGGATCAAAAGTTGCTTAATTCCCAGTCTTTTACTTTTAACATGATGACAAAACAAAAACTGCTCTTTTCTTCTTTTTATGTTGCTTTTACTTTTTATTTTATTTTTATAATTTTAATTTTTTTTAAAAAGTAAAGAAGTTATTTTTCATTGTTGAAATGTTTTTAAGTTTGCAAACTTTAAAGGGAAAAAAAATTAAAAACAAACATGAAACTCTCAAAGATTTTTACTTGAACATGGGTACTTTAAATTCATCTTCCAAGGTTAATAACAAGCTTTATTTTTCATAATAAAAATCTTACTTTAAGGGCATTTTCGGAATTCATAGCCATAAGAAACGGTCTCCCCTATGAAGAATATTACATCTACTTAAAATTCAAATAATACATATTAAATGAAAATTTATTTATTTGTTTATTCATTTGAAGCAGCGCGTGTAACGAGATTTCCTGAGAAAGGCGGAAGTTATTGCATTAAATGACTGCCGCCCTTTCCCTCTTCATTCATTCTTCTCAAAATCTTCCCCTTCAACGGCCAAGATTCTCTTATCGAATCCTCACGGGAAATTTGCAACCATCAGATTCGAATAAATTTGCAGGCCTTGCTGCTTTTCTGAACAATTTACCATAAGGAACAAGCAACATCAACGCGCATTCCTGGAATCATTTTCCCAACTATTTTTGCAATTAATTGTAAGTATTTTTTGAATTTTTTGGTATTTTTTCGTTGATTTCTTGGTTGAATTTTGACAGTGGCTTTAGTGATTTCAGGAAATCATTTGAATTTGAGTTTTGCTGGAAATATGTTTAGAATTTGAAGATTTCAGGGCTTTGTGACGAATGTTCAGAGTTCGAGAAGATGGAATTACTCAACAGAGGTCTTATGTACGTCTCTGAAGTCTAACAAAATGCAACCAATGATTCGAGTTTAAATTCTTTTTTTTTTGTTTACTTTTCATGTTATGTCAGTTTTTTTTTTTGGTTAGGAATTAAGATATATATGTTGGTCAATTTATATTTTGCACCATTTTTTCCATTCATTGATATAATTCGTTTTCTTTTATTTTGTTAGGATTGTTCTTGGCTATGCTTATCCTGCTTATGAATGCTTTAAGTGTGTTGAAGAGAATAAGACAGATGTGGATCAGTTAAGATTCTGGTGTCAATACTGGTAAGCATGAGCTCCTTTTGTTCTTTTCTCTGTGAGGGTTTTTGTGTATTACTGTCTTTCAAATTGGTGTTTCGCTTAGGTTCAGATTCATTTGCTTTTCGTTTTCTTTTTCTGGTTTTCTAGGTATGACTACCATGTGGAATTAATTTTATGGATTTTGGAGACCTCGTAAAATTAGAGTTTGGATTCATATTTGGTTTCTTTCTGTTGAGTTAATGATTTCCGGATTTTAGAATTGATGTTGGATTGCTTCGATAAATAATTGATATCAGATGTCAGTGTAAATCTTCTGTATGCTTAATGTGCTCAGGCATCTAGTTTCTTATTTGGCTCTTTTGTTTTTGAATCTATTGGACCTGTTGAATGTTTTAATGCCAAGTAGTTTATTCAACTTTCAAACACATATTTGGAGATTATTTGCATAAGGTGACCAAAGCCATGGTCCATGACACCTGGCTCTTAGGACTAATTACTACAGAGAGTGGTTTTGTGGTGAATCTCAAGATGGATTGTTTTGGATTGGTGGAAATTGAAATTGTATCATGGTCAAATGGGGTTTTGAGGAGATATAAAGAGTTGGGGGGGGACTTATTATCATGATTGTTGAACTGGGAGGAAAGTAACAGGGATTGGATTTGCATTTGGCCATTTATAGCAGTCCCTATAATGGTTTGCATTTTCGCATTTATGGTTCAAGGGGCTCAGCCAGGACCCATTTTTACGTTCATGTGGGAGGAGGCAAGTGAACCCCTGTCTGTGAATTTCAGTTCTTCAATGGGAATGGAGCTCTTTTTGGTGGATAAGTGATTAGGATTAATAAGGGTAGCACTTGTATGTGTATTTAAATGTTATGTATTATGAATAGTAGATAGAAATACTAATTTATGATATTTTTAGTCGATGATGCATCATGTCTGTCTGGTATGTACTGATATCCAAGATTAAATACATGAAACATGAGGAGACTCATCATGACTATATTCATATGAATCTACTCATACTCATCTAGATGTAATTAAATACGAGGAGAAGGGTTATTTGGACAGTGTGTAACATAAAATAGCAGCAGATTAGGGGAAAATGGTCCCTCTTGTGGATTCGAGCTATCCATGTCATAGGGAAGTGACAGTTATGATGCACCTCTTTAAGGCTGCTTAGAGCTCAAATTTGATGATTGCAGCTAATGAACCTGTACTGATGTGTTCGTGGATTATATTACGGATATTCAGTGTGATTGTTTTTTCGGATGTGAAATGTTCCTAAGGCTTCTAGATCTTCCTCTGATGGTTGTGGTGAACGGATTCTACACCAACACATGTTAAGGGTCTTTCCAATTATGTTCCGTGGGTGATTGTTGCTTGTTTTTGCCTTTGCGAGGGAGTTCTTGATTCAACTAGTAGCTGCTGTACTTTTCGTGAGAACTGGTCTTTGGTGATAACTTAGACTAAGTGGCTTCTCCAAATTGAAGAAAATCTCCTAAAAATAAGCATAATTAGGATTTGACATGGACTTCTTCTGGTGGCCAGCAGTACACACACTACAATGATCCTACCCATAGATTCTGTGACTGAGCAAAATAAGGCGAAACAGTTGTCTTTAGTTTTGTTGTATTATAAAGCACGAAAGAGACATATAGCATGGTTGTGCTGCACAACCATTATCTTGATGTCATTTGTATTTACTCCTATCATGCATTTCCCAACACCATGGATGCTATTAATGTTCTTTAGCTGAAAGCATCCTATATCCAAATCCTTTCCTTCTTTTTTTTAAAAAGAAAATTAGGGTGAGGCCTCTGTTGTATTCAACCTAAGATGTTGTGCTGAAATTGTTAACACCATAATTATAGCTGAATCATTGGTCTTGTTGACATTATTTGATTGCACTTGTTCATATTTTCATTCTTTTGTAATTTACGAGTCAGAAACCATGGCCCAAATATGAGGCCTATAATATCTTGCATCATAACCATTAACTTGGTAAAGAGGTCCTTCACTGTACACCATGAGAAAGCACCAAGTTAAAACTGTTTAAAAGCCCTACTCATGCATGCCGCTTACTCATATACGCTTGTTTTAAGCTGTATTATTGCAATGCAGAATGAAAAGGGCAATTGTCAGCAGATGTTTACATGGATTGATGAACATTTAATAGAGATTGATGGATCTAAATATTTTTATCTGAACCTGACCTGGTAGAATTTGGTTTTCAATGAAGAAAACACCAGTTGTTACTGAGGTGATCTACTTGGCATGGGATGAGATATGAAATGCTTGATTCGTATCTGTATAGCAGGATGTGGCTGAGTAACTTTCGCCAAGGCCATGCTGTGGGGTGTTCAAGGGACAATTCACAAAACACTAAAAAAAAGAAAATTGTAAAAAATAAAAAAATAAAAAATATTTAGAAATGTTTTAAGATGATTGGGATGGTTATTAAGATGATCGGGATGGTTATTAAATGATTTGGGAACTTTTCACATAATTCAATTTTTTATTTTTCTGGAATATTTATGGTATAATTCAGGATTTTAAATAGTCCATCTTTTATATTTGTTTTCAACTTCTATAGTATTTTAATGATCTCTATTACTTCTTTTAATTTCTGCTGATTTTTAACTGTTCTTAACAATTTTTACCTTTTTATTAACATTTTAACATGGTGCACAGTACTCGGCCAAGTCCACTCAGACTCAGCCTAGTAACTCGCCTTGGCACAGGGTCGAGTCCTGCAGCCAAGGCAAAGAAAACATTGATTTATATAAAGGCGAGTGGAATATTGATCAACGACTTTTGATGCTTGACTAATATGAAGGCACCGGGAAATACTTGCACAAGTTGAGAAGTGATTGATTATCTAGTCTGAGTGGTTGTTCCTTGCCCCTCTGATATCTTCTAGTTAAGAATTATCCATTGTCAAGAGGTCCAAGTTTCCGATGTTCAACCTATGTTGGTGATTCCATTTCTAAGTAGTAGGAGAAGAATATGGAGTTCTTGATTCCTGATCAGAAATTGGCCTATGTTAGACTTACAGGGATTTTTCTCGATATAGAAAACTCTATTGTTCATGCGGCATGAAATTGTTTCATGCTGCATAATATGATAACTGACGTCAGGCATCTCTGCAAATCTTTGGCCTTCCATTGCTATCATGTTACCTATATATACATTCTATAGCAGTTTGGATGGAAATGAGTCATCTTAATAGGCAGTTCAAATCTTCATATTTTTGTCAGATAACAAGTCAAAGGTTGTAAAGTACTTTGACACTTGTTAGTGGGTCTACAGGAACTTTGGATGTTCTCTCTAAATTGAGATCGTCTTAATTGAGATATATCCTAGGAAGATCTTAGTTCCTTTTATCTTGTGCAAACCAAAGGATGAAACGTTGTGCAGAAATCTTCAGGGCTTCAGAATATGATGAATGTATCTAATTTAAGGAGGTTATTGTTGTTTTCAAACAAGCTCCTTGTGCTTGACATCTAAGCTGTTCTAAATTTGGTGTGGAATAACTTTTTGCTCCACACACATCTAAGCATTTCCGTGGAAAATGAAAATATGAACTTCTAAAGAGGGATTGCAGCATAAGCCAAATGCATTATTTGTATTGTAACCCTTTCAAGTTCTCTGAATCTTTCAGGATCATTGTTGCAATGTTGACTGTCTTCGAGAGAGCTGGAGACGATTTTGTTTCATGGTAATGCAAAACCAACCCATCCTATCTATGTGCGATACGTATTCTATATACATTTTTTTTTTTCATTTGAAATGGCGAAAGGAGGTCCTCAAGAGATCTTAATTTCAAATTATTCAGAAAGGAATAACCATTAAAAGCTTCTTTAGATTCCCTTCTCTTCTTACTTCTGTGTTTATCAATATTTGGAAACGTAGTGTCTTGTTGCGCTAACATTTTTAATGCACATGACTGTGAAGGTTACCGATGTATGGTGAAGCAAAAGTCGCATTGTTTGTTTACTTGTGGCATTCAAAAACAAAGGTATTCTTCTATACATATACATTCGCACAAAAAGAAGCATTATCAGTGTTTGCTGTGTTTGTCACTGGCCCATCCGAATCCAATCTCAAACATATCAAGATCTCTAACTTTGTGTGTGTTGTCTTACATACTTCAAGTCAGCAAAATAAATCTAAAAAATGTTATAGTGCGCTCTTCGACAATGAGTCCATAAACATTTAACAATTCGTAGTCATGTATTCAGATTGATTTATTTTGGTTTGAATTAAAGTATCTTTTGGGTTTAGGGAACGACATATGTTTATCAAACATTTGTGAGGCCATACGTATCAAAGCATGAGGGAGAGTTTGATAGGCATTTGGTCGAGTTCAGAGCCCGAGCTGGGGGCCTATTCCTTATGTACTGGCAATGTGTGGCTAGATATGGGCATGCGAGGTTCTTCGAAATCCTTGAATATCTTTCTTCGCAATCTTCAGCATCCAATCACCCTCAGGTATATAGGCAAATCTCTCTTTCTCATATGTTAGATGAGCTGAATCTAGGCCCAATGCATTGACTCTCATAGAAAAATGAGGGCAGTTGTAGTAGTTACAGATCAAGAGTCTCACATTTTGAAAACCACATCAACACAATAAGATATAATAACCTAAATGCTGATACATAAATCATTGTGCAAACTACAAATATTGTATATTTAGATGCAATCTCACAAAATCTTTTCTCAAGAATAAAAAAATAGCCTACCACAGTCACATATTTGAATGCTAACACTAAAATAAAATGTTTTGACTATTCAGAATAATAAATCAGAAGCTCAGCCAAGCCAAGCAGAGAGAGAAGAGATATTAAAGGCGGCGCAAGTTGCTATTCCTCATCCTCCTCCACCAGAAAAACAATCGCAGGGGAGAAAGATGACCGGATTTCAGAAGACCAAACGAGTGTAACTCGGTTGACAGCAAAGAGGAATAATTCGTCCTCAATTCTCTCTCTCTCTCAAAGAGGAATAATTTCATTAAAAATTCTCTCCATGAGCCGGCACTTCGAAGCTATTTGTTTACACTCGGATGCTGTAATTATATTAATATTTCGACCTCTCGCTACTAGTATCGACATCTGTAATATAGCAATCTTGGACCTCTCTCTCTACGAGTATCGACCTCTGTAATATGGCAATGTTCAAAATCGCAAACAACTCTCTCTCTCTCTCTCTCTCTCTCTCTCTCTCTCTCTCTCTCTCTACGTCTCTACTACGTACTACTACTACGTACTACTACTACTACTACTACTACTACTACTACTACTCTACTCTACTACGTACGTTACGTA